ATGTGGGCCTCTCACTGTTGTGGCCTCTCCCGTTGTGGAGCACAGGCTCCAGACGCGCAGGCTCAGCGGCCACGGCTCACAGGCCCAGCCGCTCCGCGGCATGTGGGATCCTCCCGGACTGGGGCACAAACCCACGTCCCCTGCATCGGCAGGCGGACTCTCAAGCACTGCACCACCAGGGAAACCCATACCTGAATATTTTTAACGATTAGACGGAATGGTAAGACAGGAAGAGGGCTAAGAGCACTCACTTTTCTTTTCATGTTCTCTCTTGCCTGTTGGGCTTTGGTGAGAATAAACCACTGGAGGTTTGCTGGATCGCAGAAGATAGGAATGTTAAAATGCCCAAGTTCGTGCAAACTTGGAGCATATCTGTCACTGTAATAAAGCATACGTAAAAGGAAAAAAATCAGCAACCTCTCCACCCCCATAGAAACGATTTTCTTAGTCTGATTAATGGAAAGGAACTCACCAAGAAAATCCACCTTAAAGTTACAGTAAGTCCCCTACATATGAACGAGTTCCGTTCCGAGAGTGCGTTCCTAAGTCCAATTTGTTCGTAAGTCCAACAAGTTAGCCTAGGTACCCAACTAACACAATTGGCTATATAGCACTGTACTGTAGTAGGTTTATAATACTTTTCACAAAATTATACATAAAAACAAACACTTGAAATAAAGATACTGTACTACCGTACTCTCTACAGTACTGTACGGTGAAGTACACAAAAGCACAACCACTTGTAGACGATGCACGCATGTGACAATGTACAGCAGACACATGAACTAACTTATGAGATTGGACAGGTGAACGCACATTTGCATCTTTGAAAGTTTGCAACTTGAAGGTTCATATGTAGTGGACTTCCTGTATAGCAGAATTGATTTGGAGTTTTGCTCTCCCCAAAGAGACACACTATCAGGATGACCACACCCTTCCTGGCCCTGTGACCTTCCTCACCTGTAAGATGGGGGTAGTAACCCACTCCATGGTGAGGTTATGAGAGCTAAAGAGATAATGCATTTAAGTACCAAGCACGGTGCCTGATATGCACACTGTTGATTTCACATTAGTATAACCCTATAAAGTTTTCCACAGGACCGATTTGCCCTGTAAGTGGCAATATATTTACAGAATGTTCTAGAGACTCAATCTTTCAATCCTCTCATGTTGGCTTTTCTCATGTGTAAAAGAGTGCTGCCAACAGAGGTGGTGACATTCCTTTCTTTAATTCCTAAGAATCACACATGGAAATACAAAACAATTTCATGCATAGACACACACAGCCCATCTGAGTGAATGAATAAAAGTAATTGTTTTAGATACTTGCCTGTTAAGGATCATTTGCAAACCACGCAAACTTCGAGGGTGAAAAGGTATTCGGCTTTTCAAGAGTCTATTATAGAACACGTCGAGAAGAGAGTAATATTCTTCAAGTGTCAACACTGGCTGTAATTCTTCGATATAAACAACTTGGATGCCACCTAGAAGATAGCTTATTTGGTCCTCCAGAAGCATCAGCCTCCTCTGCAGGTCAAAATAACTCGGTAATCTTTCAAAAAGCTACAGTATTAAAAAAAAAAAAAGGAAGAAATATTTAGTTTTATGGTACTTTAACAGTCCAAGTTTAGGACTCCAATAAATGGTATTGAGGAATTCTATCAACAAAATTATTTTCCTAGAAGGAAAGTTCAAGTATGCAACAAGAAAAAAGCTATGGAATGCTGGAAATATTAATATTCAAAACAAACCACTGTAAATCTTAGGAACTTTTAGGTAGGAATTGAAGAGATCGCAGAAGAAAAGAAATATGTTCCAAATAAAAATAAGTCCTAACATTTAAATATTCAGGTAAGAATCTCAAATTAGTAGAAAGATTAAATGGTATAATAAAGAAGGGTTTTAGAAATAAAGTCTACATATTTCAATTGCAAATCTGTTTCCTCAGAATTTCCCTTAATTCAACTAAATTCTATTTTGAAGCACCTACCATGTACTTAAGTACTAAACTGGGTCCTTGGAGTATAGGGATTATAAGAATTTGTGTCCCTGTCTCCCAGGGGCTTATGGTCATGGTGCAGGGAAACAAAACAAGAATCAGAATTCAGCGTACCAAGTGCCACATCAGGGTGAAGCGACTGGAGGGTCAAGCAAAGGTTTCCAAGGACGTCTAACATAACCAATATGAAAAGATAAAGAGGATTTAGAGAAGGTTAGATGCATCACTAATTATTAGAGAAATGCAAATCAAAACTACAATGAGGTACCACCTCACACTGGCCAGAATGACCATCATCAAAAAGTCTACAAATAATAAATGCTGGAGGGACTTCCCTCGTGGTGCAGTGGTTAAGAATCCACCTGCCAATGCAGGAGACAAGATCCCACGTGCCGTGGAGCAAATAAGCCCATGCGCCACAATTACTGAGCCCGTGCACCATAACTACTGAAGCCTGTATGCTCTAGTGCCCACACTCCACAACAAGAGAAGCCACCGCTCTGAGAAGCCCATGCACCTCAACAAAGTGTAACCATCACTCACCACAAGTAGAGAGAAAGCCTGCACGCAGCAACAAAGACCAAATGCAGCCAAAAATAAATTTAAAAGAATAAAAGCTGGAGAGGGTGTGGAGAAAAGGGAACCCTCCTATACTGTTGGTGGGAATGCAAATTGGTACAGTCACTATTAAAACAATATGGAAGTTCCTTAAAAAACTAAAAATAGTGGGAATTCACTGGTGGTCCAGTGGTTAAGATTCTGTGCTTTCACTGCTGAGGGCACAGGTTTAATCCCCGGTCAGGGAACGAAGATCCCTGCAAGCTGCTTGGCCAAAAAAAAAAGAAAAACTAAAAAGAGTTGCCATACGATCCAGCAATCCCACTACTGGGCATATACCCAGAGAAAACCATAATTCAAAAAGACACATGCACCCCAATGCTCATTGCAGCACTATTTACAATAGCCAGGTCATGGAAGCAACCTAAATGCCCAATGACAGACAAATGGATAAAGATGATGTGGTACATATATACAATGGAATATTACTCAGCCATAAAAAAGAACGAAACTGGGTCATTTGTTGAGATGGGCATGGATCTAGAGACTGTTATACAGAGTGAAGTAAGTCAGAAAGACAAAAACAAATATCGTATATTAACGCATATATGTGGAACCTAGAAAAATGGTACAGATGAATCGGTTTGCAGGGCAGAAATAAAGACATAGATGTAGAGAACAAACGTATGGACACCAAGGGGGGAAAGTGGCGGGGTGGGGATGGTGGTGTGGTGAATTGGGAGATTGGGATTGACATGTATACACTGATGTGGATAAAATGGATGGCTAATAAGAACCTGTTGTATTAAAAAAAAAAAGTTGACATGTTCCTTGTCAAAAAAAAAAAAAGAATAGCATTTCAATGGTCTTTCTATAGTTCAATGACATGTTTTTTTCAGTGGGGTAGACATTACATATGGGATAATTTTGTTTAGATACAAATGGATCCTATTGTCTCCTTCCAAACACAAATTCTATAATTGCAATACATTTTAGTTATAAAATTATTTGATAATCAGAGAATATATGCAAAATATGGAAATACTAAAAGCTACAACACAAAGTAGCATTTTCTAATTTTTTTTAGACTGGTAAATTCGTTTTATTATTGTATAAAATTAGAAAACCTTACATATTAAACATTTCATTGTAGTGTTTTTATAACTATAAAGTGATTTTACAGTAAGATAAAGCATAATTTGCTGAGAAATACAAAATTACACAGCATGTCCTAAAATGTACATTGAAATGTAACTGCCAGATATAAGAAGAAAATAGATTAAATGGAGCTTTTATGACCTGATGATTCTTCTATGTTGTGTTTTTAAAAACTCAACTGATTTATTTTCATAATTTCTGTGTTTTATTTCAGCCTGCATGTCTCTGAGGAAACATAAGGAAAATTATTTGAAACTTTACACTAAATAGAACTGTTATATTTTCTCTTTTTAACATGACATTCTGAAATATTAGAAATAACATGCTTTCAAGATTAAATTTTGATCAGGTGAATGCAATTCGTAAACCAGCTGAAGATCAGTTGGATATAAATTGCAGAATTATTTTTATGCTCCCTCTGAACTGTGTAATTCAGCATGTGCTCCTTATGCGTCCTCTCCTATAACTACAGATATAATAAAGATGAGGTAAACAGTACAAGAATGAAAATAAAAACAAACCGTATATGGCCAAAATGACCATGGTGGTGAATAAGTTTTGGGGACAGTCACTCCATTCATATGGTTTGAAACCTCTCAAATGGTTCAACAATTTTATAATTATTTGCAAAATAATAACAAATTAAAAAAATTAAGACTTCTCTGGCGGTCCGGTGGTTAAGACTCCACACTTCCAATGCAGGGGGCCTGGGTTCAATCCCTGGTTGGGGAACTAAGATTCCACGTCCCACGTGGCGTGGCCAAATAAAAAATTAATAAATGAAACAAGAAACTGATACAAACACCACTCTGGCTTTGATCACATAAGCTCCTGGAATCCTTACTGGGAAAAACTAATATAAAACAAAACCTTGAGCAAACCCTCATCAGGGTTCCCGCAAACTGGGCAACATCCATATTTGGGAAAAGGTCAAGATTGGCTGAAAGGGGTTCTGGGCCTGTGTGAACACACTGGACCAGGGAGACCAGGTTAGGTTATAGAAATAAGAGATATGAAATCTTCCAAATTCATACAACTGTCATAACCGGGGCATCGGCTCTCTAAAGCATGCTGGTAAAGGCAACAGATTTTTTTTTTTTGCGACATTTAGTCTATACTGTAATTTACCCAAAGGGCCCAAAGAGCAGTATGTATTCCTTTTCTTGCCTTTTTTCAGTGTAGAGCTGTCCTCTCCTAACCTACCCAGCCTGGACCCTCTGCTCTAAAATTATACTTAATGAGCTAAACTCAAACTTTATGAGGTGTGATGATCTGGTTCAGGTAAGTCACTAACATATCAATGTTCAAGAAATATAACCCAGGGAGGGAGAGAGACGCAAGAGGGAAGAGATATGGGAACATATGTATATGTATAACTGATTCACTTTGTTATAAAGCAGAAACTAACACACCATTGTAAAGCAATTATACCCCAATAAAGATGTTAAAAAAAAGAAAGAAATATAACCCAAGGACCTCCGATACAAGCATCAAAAACTAAACAAAACAGAAAACTCTAACCGGTCGATTTTAGAAGAGAAGCTTTGAGTAGGAAGATTTAAGGTGATACCAGTCAACTCTCAATATTCTCTAGCCCAAGAAAATACATGGAAGTAAAAGATATGAAACAGCATTACACCAAGAACCAGCCACAACCCTATCCCAGCTCTTTGGTAAGAAACTCTAAATACTGTCTGTTTCATTTAGGATAATTCAATATTAATTTTAAATCACAGTTTTAAAGCAAGATCTCTCTTATAAACAAGGCTAAAACATGTAATGCTTTATTGTTGTTAATTTCATTTGTCAAAGCTAAGAAAACAAAGGTTCTACCTGGCTATGAATGGGTTTACTTCATTGTTTGACAAAATACATAGCTATTGACAACTGAATTTGGATAATAATGATCAATAAATTAGACAGTTATATTTCCACTGATTTCAATTTCTAAAACAGTGGTCTATTTAATTTATGTTGCCATCTTCTTTAAGAGTAGACAAATCAAAATGACATGTTTTGAGCTTGTGCTGGTAACTGTCAACATGAGAGCTTGAATTTAACACAAAGCATCCCTCTGGAGGAAATGAAGAATTCATAGTAACACAACTCAAGTACACTCAGAAAATTTCCTTAACACAATGTATCTCTTGCTAAAAACAGAAGATACTTTTATGTCAACACTAATGAAACTAACAGAGGCACTGTTTTAAAAAATATGGTTCTCTACATTCATTGCTGAGTCACTTCTACTGCTACCATCTGTATTAAGCTACTTTACATTTCCATACTAAACCTTGAGTTCTCCACACCCAGCCTCCAGCACTTCACATTCACACTTTTTCAACAATTCTTTAATTCAGTGAAATAAAAATGCTGGTTGGGTTTTCTGAATCTACGAAGCAGATTAGTAGAAAGATGATTAAAACATGTTCCCTACTCTTAAAAATGCATTAGCTAGTAACATGTAATATAATATAATGTAAGAGTGTCTACTTTTATTAAAGACTGAAGAATTTTATTGGATGAACTACATACAAATAAGGAAATTATAAATACTCAGCTTGGACAAGGAACCAATGGAATAGCACTTATCTTGGTGAATCGGCTTTTCCCAGTTCCAGTCTGTTTTCATTGTTCGCCAGCTGACTAACTCTGAGTTCTGGATCCCTGGGACAATCTTTTCATGATGGCTACACATCTAGCTCCAGACCAAAATTGCACCCTATGAAACACTCAACTGAACCACAGACTAATTGCTTCTCTGAATTTCTTTAATATGTTATTCTAAAGCCTCTTGACTTAAGGTCCAACAACTCTCATTGTTGCTTTTATGCCTTGACTTACCCAATCCCACTTTTTTTCTACACCAAAAGGTGGGTCAGACATTCCCAAGTTTTTGTTCATCTGGACACACTGTGAGATAGTTAGAGCAATGCGTATAAGCAGAAGTTTCATGGGCTGGATCCCAGTGCATGCAAGGCTGAGACCCTCTCTTCCAGCTCATGTTTTTTGGGGTTTCTTTTTGGCTGCATTGGGTATTTGTTGCTGCATGCGGGCTTTTCTCTAGTCGAGGCGAGTGGGGGCTACTAACTACAAATAAGTTCAGTTAAATAAAAACTCTTACATACGTTAGGGTTGTTTCCATTCTCCAGACTTGCTCGGGGTCTTCATCAGGGTCCTTGAATCCAGTAAAGGAGTAGTAAGACTTGTCCCATTTGATGGGCCTGTCTGATATCCTTTTGGCCTCTTTGAGAGGCTGGGAGTGCACATTAGTATTCAAGCTTTGGATATGTTCAATAGATAAACTGCAGGAGTTGAGAATATATAACACTGTGCTTAGCAGATCTCTGGTGTGCAAAGTAAATTTGACTGCTCGAAATCCTAGAGAATATAATTCCCCCAAACAGTTAATACAGATGATTATTTGCTTTACTTGAAAATCATTTCTTTTCATACAACATTTATAGAATCAAAATCTTTAAAACACTCCATTACTGATTAAAATTCATCCTATTGGAAAATCATCTGTAAATGGAAAACTACATCCCTTCTCCAAAACTGTACCACACTACCTCCATCTTCATGAAGTCCTCTGTCAGCTCCCGTTTCTAGTTTGGCGCCAGTGACCAAACCCACCCCAGCCCCAGAAGGGGATTGAGAATATTTTCAATGCTGTTCATAAATTTGGTCTCTACAGTCTAAGGGATGGAAAAGCTCTCCTAGGAGCAAGTGTCCACCAGAGAGGGTGTTCAGCACTAAAGAGAAGGGGGAGGGTGGAGGCAGGGGGAGGGTGGGGTAGGCTGCCCTGCGACAGTGGTTCAAGGAGGGGGGCCAATCCAGTCTCAGGGGTCACAGAAACCCATCTCAAATTTTCTCTACGGTTGAAAGAGACTGTCCTCATACTCCCCCATCCAACTAGCTAGGGACACAATATTTTCAGGTGACTACTCAAATTCCCTAATTTTTTAAAAGTTAGCACTTCACAATCTGACTTTAATGCAGGTAGTCCCTGGGCTCAGGGTAGTAATCTAACTTACGTCAACAGTAGGAAACCTACTGGTTCCCCTGCACCTTTATTGGGTATTAAACATGGCGCTAGTTGAATTTACATAACTTTTCAATGAACACTCTCACCAGTGCCATTATTATCTCTCTTTTCAAATGTGAAGAAGCAGAGGTTCAAGGAGGTTAAGAAGCGTGAAGTGAGGGCTGAAATCTGAGCTGCCACCAAGCCAAGCATTTTCCCCATTATAACATGCTGACTCTTTTTTCTTTCTTTGGAAAAATTTTTAAAACTGGTTCTGAAAATTATACAAGTGTTATATAAGTACATCCTTCTTGTAAAATTATATATACAAAGTAAAAGTCTCCTGTTGACAGGCACACAACCTCACACTTTCACTAGATGTAACCCTATTAACATTTAGGTACACAAGCATTTAGACCTGCACTGCCTAATAGGGTAGCTACTATCCATATGTGGTTATTTATTGATAAAAATTAAATTGATTGAAATTAAATAAAATTTAAAATTCAGTTCCTGGTCATACTAGCCCCACTTCAAGTGCTCAGTAGCCACATGGGGCTAGTGCCAGCTGTACCAGGCAGTGCTCGTACAGAACAGTTACATCTCCGCAGAAAGTTCTCTTGGACAGCACTGCTCTAGACCTTTTCTATGTGCTTTGTGTGTACGTTATATATGATATATACACTTTTGTGCCTGCATGAACACACACCCACAGTGTGAATTGTTCCTTTTTAACATATAAACTGCACCATTCTGGACCGATGACTTTTTTTTTTAAATTTATCTGTTTGGCTGCTCTACGCAGCTTGCAGGAGCTTAGTTCCCTGACCAGGGATCAAACCTGGGACCTCTGCAATGGAAGAACAGAGTCCTAACCACTGGATTGCCAGGGAATTCCCTGGATCTATTACTTGGAACTTGCTTTTGTTATTTAACCTTGGTGACTCTTCCATTATCTGTATGTATACATCATTCTCTTTCTTTTTAGTAGCTCTATACTAATCCACATAATCAATGTAGCGTAATTTATTTAACACTTCCAAAACCGATGACCATAAAAGTTGTTTTTAATTTTTCACCATTCCATACAAGACTGTGTTTTCTTTGCCACGATGACCGTCACCACAATCTAAATCATTCTCAGATATACCTGCTATGCCTGCCACATAGATTTATAGAATCTATAATATGCAAACTAAGAAAGACTTTTTATTTGAATCATTGATGGTAAAGTGAGAAATACTGGGAGGAAAATTATTCTAGTCAGTGAAAAAGGAAAGGAAAATCCAAATTTCTGCATTTGAAGTTAGGAAGAAATAGTTTATCCTCAGAAGAGGTAAGTCAAGGAATAAATCTCAGTTTCTCTCTTATCAATTCCATTAATTATTTAATCCAATGTAAACGCTGCTGTATAGTGTGGAATGCTTGTGCCAGACTGCACATAACTTTTATTGGGAAATATTACCTAATTAGTTTAGTTTGCATTTGATTACTGAGGCTAAACATTTTTATATGCTTATTGGCAATTTATGTGTATTATTTCCCGAACTGTCTAGTCATTGTGTTTGCCCATTTTTGTAACTAAGCTACTCTGTTTTCTTTTTGACTTCTAAGAACTCCATATATATATAATTTATTTTTAAATTTATTTATTTATTTTTGGCTGTGTTGGGTCTTCCTTGCTGCGCATGGGCTTTCTCTAGTGGTGAGCGGGGGCTATTCTTTGTTGCGGTGCGCGAGCTTCTCACTGCGGTGGCTTCTCTTGTGGAGCACGGGCTCTAGACACCTGGGCTTCAGTAGTTGTGGCGCAAGGGCTTAGTTGCTCCTCAGCATGTGGGATCTTCCCGGACCAGAGATGGAACCCGTGTCCCCTGCACTGGCAGGCGGATTCTTAACCACTGAGCCACCAGGGAAGTCTATCTATCTATCTATCTATATCTATTTATTTATTGGCTGCACCATGCAGCTTGTGGGATCGTCGTTCCCTGATCAGGGATTGAACCTGGGCCCTTGGCAGTGAGAGCGCAAAATTCCCTGGAACACCAGGGAATTCCCACTAATTTATTTTTTTATAATCTATTTTCATTTAATAAATGGTTCAAAGTTAACCATTAACTGAAAGTAGAGGATTTTTCTCTTTACTCAGCCAGAGCTGACGACAGCTATTTGTTTTAGCATTTGTTCACAGAAAGCTCTTAGTAAATCTTTAAACTGTTTTAAAGTTCATTCTAAAAATAAAGTTATTTCCTCAAGGATCATGAAAAGCACGGATAGACCCACATTCATCTTAGTTTAAAGGACCACTGGATCATGGCTAAAGCAGTGACAAAGGATAAAACAGAAGGCTGTACATGAAGACTGATCAGATTTTAGAAACAGCATGAGGCTAGAGTTAAAGGGTTCAAGACCCCTATTCTGTCTCCATGGTCCTGGGATATTACTAAGTTACAATTGGGCAAATACTACCTTCCTCACAGGGTACTTTGAGGACTAAATTAGAGAATGTAAGCTATATTTTTTAAAGATATAAATTGTTATATAGACATTTAATACTTAAAACAGCACTGAAATAGGAAGGGGACAAATAGGAACACTTCAGTTTTCTAGTCAGAAAAGTTTAAACATAAAAAATGGCTCATCAAACACATGCAGCCAGGAACAGAATCTAACTCCAGGAAAACACTCAATTAAATGATATTATTTCCTATGACAAGGCTTCAACCCGAAGGTCTTCTAGCAACGTTAGACAGATCGGACACATCACACCAAGCCTGCAAGGGACACACGAGAAATAAGAAACGTACCGGAAGTGCTGAAGTGTTCCTGGCCATCAGAGGAGTTCTGGTCTGTTTCTCTCACATAAAACATAAGCTGGGTTGGTTTCAAAGACTTGAAGCCTGGTTTCTGGAGGTTTTCTAAGTAGGCACTTAATCTCTTAAGAGAATTTTCATTGACTTCCTGGAAAACAATATTAAGAGACATTTATACACAAAATAGAACAAGGAAACATCAGAAATTATATCCTGACCTTTTAAACACATTATTGAGTGTATTAAAGAATTTAGTATTAAAAAATGGTGGGATTTCATAGCTCCTCAGTACAGGATAAAATTGGATCCACACCTCACAACATGGAACTCCATAGGGATGAGATGTGTAAAAAAAATGTGGCCACATAAGTACTAGAGAAAACATGTCTGAGTTCCTTTATAACTTAGATGTGGGAAAAGTCTAACTATGACTGAATATCTCAAGTAATAAATGACTGATAAATCTAATTACCTAAGATAGTTTAAAAACTTAATATAGCACAGGGAACTACATTCAGTATCCTGTGATAAACCATAATGGAAAATAATATGAAAAACTATATACATATTTCTGTATAACTGAATCACTGTGCTGTACAACAGAAATTAACACAATATTGTAAAATTTTTTAAAAAATCTTAAAAAAAGAACACATAAAATACCACACATTTTTAAGGAAAACCACACACACACACACACACACACACACACACACACACAGGCACACGAGTCTACAGACAAAAATTGACTGGGAATAAATATTTGCAAGTTATTTCATAGTAAAGAGCTAATTTCTTTCTATATAAAAGGGTCTTAAAATGCCTATCCAGAGATTGGTTGGATTATGGTATCTTCATTCAATGGAGTGCTACACAACCAAAAGGAAAAAAAGGGGGAAAGAATGTGACACGGGCAACATATATGAAAGGACGTGGAGTGATCTCTAGGATATACTGTTAAGTGAAAAAAGAAATGTCTTTTAGTGAAGGAACAGCTCCAAGAAATGGCATAAATAATAACTTTTCTTCTTATCCCTATAGGTCTCTTCTCAGAAATACAGTGTGATCTGAAATTAGGAACAGTCTGTTTATTTTTGTTTAACTTATTATAATACACCACTCTCAGCTATGACAGGTCCATGAGCAGCTGAGAGAATTTCCTGTTAGTGAAGGACTAAATCTTCAAAATTATTTTTTGATATATATTTCCATTTTTGCCCCCAAAAAACAGGCAGAACAACCCAGAAATGAATAAAAATGACTGCCAACAGGAAGTTAATGGGATTGGGGTAAATGAAATTGGGATGGGAGTGAAACTCCTGAGTAAACTTTGTGTTTAGCTTTGATTTTTGAAACCCATACATGTTTTGCCTATTTTAAAACTGAATTAAAATTAAGAGGATAGAACAGCAAAAACTGTGCTTCACCCTGAGATCCTGGCCTGATGCCATGACTACATGCGACTCTATGCCTCTTTTGTGCTTCACCCTGAGATCCTGGCCTGATGCCATTACTACATGCGACTCTATGCGTCTTTCCCTTAGAAAGGGGTGAACGTGCCCCACAAGAGTCAGGAGAAAACTGACATAGAAGACAAACTTATGATTACCAAAGGGGAAGTGGGGGAGGGATAAATTAAGAGTTGGGGATTAACATATACATACTACCATATATAAAATAGATAAACAACAAGGTCCTACTGTATAGCACAGGGAACTATATTCAATAACTTATAATAAACTATAATGGAAAAGAATATGAAAAAGAGTATATATATATATATATCTGAATCACTTTGTTGTACACCGGAAACTAACACAACGTTGTAAATCAACTATACTTCAATAAAAAAAATTTTAATTAAAAATAGAGCATTACCAAATCTTTAGGTAAAATGAAAGTGAAAATGATGTAAATTGCACCCATATTAAAGACAAGTTATTGAAAAATATAAAATTCTTCCTATGAAGTTTAAAAAAAAAGCATGTGGCTGCATGCAGGGCTCATGGGATAATCCAGGATAAGCACCTCCTCTCGAAATCTGTAACTAAGTCACATACCTTAATATACAAGGTAAAATTCACAGGTTCCAGGAATTAGGACATGACACATCCTTTGGAGCCAGCATGCAATCCATTACACTTGGTGACGGGATCACCATTATAAACTCCCCTTTGTTTCATTCTGCCTTTGAATGACTTTGCAGAGAGAAGCTACCATCTGTGGGTGTCACGCCTAGTCCACCTGGCATTATTTCACATCCACTCACACCCCCAAAGTTAGGGTCTCCCATGATTCCAGCCTCTACTTGGGTTGGATCCAGCCTCTCACTTTTCTAATTGGCTAGTTGTGAGTTTTTTTGTGCACAGCACTTCTCTTTTCTTCTTGGGCCAATGGGTTCCAGGATAGAGCTGCATCATGGGTCTTCTGTGCCAGTTCCCCCTTTATTGCTGCTCAACTTCCAACCCACCCTTCACACATGCTCTGCAGTAATGAACAGGATTCCTTTAAGCTTCTGTCCTTCAGAGTGAGCACAATGGTAAGTTTTTCCGGTAGAGGGCGCTAGGGGGACATTGCAGAGAGAGGGGCCCTCCTGCTGCTTTTGGAGGCTGCAAGACTGATTGGTCACAAGTGTAGGTGTGATGGCATCTGGTGCAGGCCTGCCCAGCCATGGGCGCAGAACCCATGACCCTCACAATGTAATAGAGAAGACAAATCTGACTCCATATCGGATCTGTTCCTTTTACTTTAACCTTTGTATCCTACTGCTTTTGCTACAAGTTAATTACTAAAGGGATGTTGCCTGTAAGCTTAAATTATACATAATGGCCCACCTCTGGGACGCCTGCCTCCCAGGTAATGAGCATTAAGCTAAAATATCTTTGTTAACTCACAGCAAACATCCTGACCAGGCCCACATGTGAATGGCTACAGGAACGAAGAAATCAGAGTCTGAACAGAACCAGGATTTTACTCCCTTCCCTTTTAATATAAAAGAAGCCTGAATTCTAGAGAAGATGGTTCTTTGGGACACTAGTCCACCCTCTTCTCGGTCTGCTGGCTTTCCCAATAAAGTCACTATTCCTTGCCCCAACAAACTGCCTCTCAATTTACTGGCCTGTCATGAGACGAGCAGTATGAGCTTGGACTCAGTAACATCAACACACTGCAAACACTGGGTCTCCTGCCCACACTGGCACTCCACCCTCCTCTGCTTGTCCACAGGCCTAGCCATCAGCTGACCTGCCTGCACCTGGTTTGTGCCCCAGAGAGTTGCTTCCTGCTTACCCAGTGGTTGGGGAGCCACGGCAGGAGCAACCCAGGCAACTTCTCTGCCACCAATGAGGCCTGAACACAGGACCTCGAGAGAGGACCCCTTCCAAGCTTTTTTCTTCCTGGGGGGCTCTCCCTCAGCCCTAGGGCCCATATTGAGTTTTATTACATCTTAGTCATTCTTTTATCTAAGTTGTTGGGCTGCACCCCTCAAGCCAGCAAGCCCTGTACTTGCCCAGCCTCAAGCCAGAAGAAGCAGCCCAGAGTCAGCAAGTGCAACCTCAATGGTTTCATGGATAGGAGAATCTTACACATCTGAAGCAAGGTCCTGGAGCGAGACACCCATGGCATGCAACAAACAGCAGGCAGGACATGGCCCAGTCTTCACTCCAGGGGGAGAGGAGCAGGGGTGGGGGGGGGGCAGGTTACCAGTTAAAGGAGGAACTGACGTCAGACTGACTCACTGGTTGCCAGAGAAACCAGCAGAGGAGCATGCCCCTCACTGCCCCTTTGATAAACCAGCATAGTGGAGAGAGTTCTGATCTAAAGATTAGAACAATCACCAGCTGGGGCCAGGGGCAAGTACACAAGCATTTACTGATCAGGCTCTACAACTGAGAGGGAAGGTCAGTCACGTGAATAAGGCATAGGTAAAGCAGGGGCTGGTCGAGCAGGGGATGTACAGAGAGCAGGAGAACAGCCATCTTGGGTGACCTGATCAGACAAAATTTACCAATTTTTATATTGTTTCCCTGTTTAAACCGTCTTGTGATTGGACCCAGACCTGTTTCAATAGTACCTCCAGCCTTGGGGATGAGTCCAGGCTTTGCTCCTCCTGGGTGCTCCCCACCTAGAGGATCCTGCACAGATGCTCCAGCCTTCTGAGTCCAGCTAGCATACTGGTCATTCATTTAAAAAAATATATATTGACTATATCCTTGGTGCTGAGATACAGCAGGCTGGCTCGGCCTCAGCAGCCCACCTCTTCCTCAAAGGACATAAAGCTCACAGGCTCGGGCTTCCCTGGTGGCACAGTGGTTGACAGCCCACCTGCCGATGCAAGGGACACGGGTTCGTGCCCGGGTCCGGGAAGATCCCACATGCCGCGGAGCGGCTGGGCCCGTGAGCCATGGCCGCTGAGCCTGTGTGTCCAGAGCCTGTGCACCGCAACGGGAGAGGCCACAACAGTGAGAGGCCTGCGTACCTCAAAAAACAAAAAAGCTCACAGGTTCTGTGACATTTGTCACGTGGGGGAAGCCTGAATGTGTTCTGGAAGGAAGAGCTGCTGTGGTCCCGTTGTCTGCACAGTTAGGCCCTGCAGTGTGAACCTGCCTGGGTATAAACTGGCAGGAGAGGAACACTCAGGGCTTCTGAATCAAGTAAGGCGCTGTGAAGCCAAGGCAGGCCAAGAGCGGGCTCATGGAGGATTTTAGGATCTGGGAGTGCCCTGGAGAACCCTGCTCTGGTTGCTCCCCACCGGTTGTGGGCTCCAGGATGGGCATTTACCACTGGCCTCCTGGTTACATTTCTTGAGGAAGGAGGCAGGTGGGCTCTAGGCTAGGTATTTACAACCAGCCTCCTGTTTGCACTACGAGATAGAAATAACAACAGCAACAGGGTAAGTAGCTGGACTTTGTCTCCTGAGGATACTTTAAGATAACAGTCATGGAGGGGACAGAGAGGGGCTAAACCCTATTTGAGTAAAAAATAAAGAGGTCACACGTTTCCCATCCTTGGGGCAAGGGAGACACTGCACATGCGCAGAAAGCATCCTTGGGGGTCAAAAAGGAGGGGGCGCCACCCCATAATAGGTGATGCCAAGGCCCCCCATAGGCCTCTGGGCTGGAATCCATGTCGGGGAGGGTCCTAGGGCAGGTCAGGAGTGGAAAAAAGAAACCAAATAATGTGCCAAAGATAAAGAGCCGAAAGAACTGCCCTATATAAATGACTTAACTGCCTCTTTTCCGTTCTCCCCCTCATTAGCAGAGACGCCCACACCCTTTCTCTCCAGGTGTGTATTTCTGCCTTGCTTCTGTCTTAGATAAACCAACTGTTTCTCTGTGTGCTTTCCCACTTGTGCAGTGTCTCTAATAATAAACTTTATACCTGTTTTTACAGTTTTTGCCTTCTTGAGAAATGCATTTTTCAATGGAGGCAAGGGCCAGGGGAATTTAGCTTCCAGCCTCTAGCCCCTGGTGGACTAACGGCTGGGATTCCTGGTTTTCATCCATGCTACCCAGGTCCAATTCCTGGGCAGAGAACTAAGATCTTGCTTCAAGCCACCACTAACTGCTGTCTCTCCAAGGTCAGGTGCATCCCAGCCAGAATCAGTGCATGACCCACAAGGGTGATGTCCAGCTCCACATGGCTCAGGGTGCAGCCCATTTGGCCAGCCCCTCGTCCCCCACTCTGGGACCCATGTAGCACCCATGGCCCATCCCGGGCTGGGTCTCACTTCCCGCCTTGTCTCACCGAGCCAAGTCCGAGATGAGACCAGGAAGGTGCGATAGCCCCTCCACCGTGTGGCCTGGAACAGGAGATGGCACAGGTGGGAGCTGTCCCCACCCAGCAGTCTCCCCAGAGCATGCAGTGGCGGGTAGCACAGAGGATGCCCCATCCACGGGGGTCAGGGCAGGACCCACCCACTCGGCTCTCAGCAGGAGAGGCACAGGGATTGGAGGGCAAGCCTGAAAGGAGCCTCCAGGAGGTACAGGAGGGAGGGAGTGGGCCAGTGGTCTCAGCACAGAAAGCTGTTGGAGCGAGACCCCAGCTGAAGTCTTTGCTAAAGCCTCCCGAGCAGGGGCAGGGCAAGGCCCGCCCCATCCTCTAGGTGAGGTTCAACATGCCCTGAAGTGGAGAGGCTGGTCCTCAAACCCTGACCCACTGGCTCCAGAGCACGAGCCCTCTGGCGGTCCAGTGGTTAGGGCTCCGCGCTCTCACTGCCGAAGGCCCAGTTTCGATCCCTGGTCCGGGAACTAAAACCCCATAAGCCGAGTGGTGTGGCCAAAACAAACAGAGCACAAACCCTCTATGCTCTGCCCAGCCACAGCCCTGGGCAGGAAGGTTCAGCACCTGTCACCGCATGATAGCGGGCAAAGCTGGCTCTGAAACATGCCTGACGACATGTTCAGGGAAACCGCACAGAGGACCCTGTGCACTTGACCAGCAACACACACACCAAAAGTGCGATGGGGGACTGGGCCAAGCCGGGGTCGTTTGTGCTGCACGTGACCCAGGGCCAAGGGATCATTGTACAAAGAGCCAGCTGAAGCCATCCAGCATCTCCCAGCCCAGGACCATCCCCACTGCCCATCTGCAGGGCCAGCCGTTCAGGCCTACCCTTTGTCCCTGGCCACCGCCTGAGATGGCCAGATCCCTCTGATCTGACCAAAACTGCTTCCTTGGGGAGAGGTGAACTCTACAAGGGGGCAGCAGAGAACTTGGCGGTCCCTGGGGCCATTTTCCCCCTGATAGTCTGAGGTTTGCATGTTCTTCACGCCCTGCCCTATCATCCTGGACAGTTAACCAGGTACCTTTGGATTGGCTTAAGTCAAAGCAAGGTACGCAGTGGCTAGACAGGAGGAAGAACTTCCTGACCATCAGAGAACTCACCAGAATCAGGACGTGGTGATTCTATCACTTGGGAAGCAACACAGACCACCAGGGTAACTCAGAGGCTCAGTGACGACCCACTGGGGGCACAAAGACAGCCCTGTTTTCCAGCACCTGGGGTGGGGTGGGGGGCGGGCTTATGGGCCGCTTGCCCATGTTCATGTGGCCAGTGTCGGAGCAACCTAGGTTCACAGCCCCCTCCCCATTCAGGACCCCCGTCCATGCAGGTCACCAGCGGGGATGTGCAGGCCCCGGGGGCTCTTGGCTCCAGGTCAGCCCATCAGCAAAGGCATCCTGCAGCCCACATTGACCTGGAACAGGTAAGATCAGGATGCCAAGGGGGCCCAGCCCCAGGGGAACAGGTACTTTACGTGATCATGAGCACCCTGAGGAAGGGAGCCCTGCAGTCTTGGGGGTCTTGAAATCCTTTGTGGAGTGTTTCCCAAGGCCTTCTCTGGGCAGGCACCAGGCTTGGCATAACATTGGAAGGTTCATCCAGTGAAGGGGCCGTAGGTGCTCGGGGTCTCCCAGGGTGGGCTGATGGCTGCATGAAAACATTAGCACACAAGGGGAATAAGGGGTCCTGCTCAGTCAGTGCGATACGGTGATTTATAATAAGAGATATATTGTTGGTCTTCATCTCTGTCCCCACTCCCTGCACTGCACGGAGCTCCTAAAACCCTTGGAATTGTTTGAGTGCTGAGAGTGTAAAGGTGTCTTTTGTTACGTTAATGAGGTGACTGTTGCAAACACCTGCGGATGGGGGTTGGTTGCCCAGGAATCCAACCATGTGATTAGAGGGTAGGAACTTTCAGTCCCAACCCCTGACCTCCAAGGAGGAGAAAGTGGCTACAGGTTCAGTCAATTGCCATTGGCCAATGATTTAACCGTTGTAAGGTAATGAAACCTCCATAAAACCCTCCAATAGAGAGGGTTAGTGAACACGCGGAGGTACTGGGAGAGTGGGGCTCTCAGAGAGGGTTGGAAGCTCTGTGCCCCTTCCCACATTCCCTGCCCTAGGCATCTCTACCATCTGGCTGTTTCTGAGTTTTATCCCTTTATAATAAATTGGTGATCTAGGAAGTAAAATGTTTCTCTGAATTCTGTGAGCTGTTCTACCAAATTAATCAAACCTGAGGAAGGGGCTGTGGGAACCTCTGATCTATAGTGGGTCAGATGCACAGGTGACAACCTGGCCCTGCAACTGGTGTCACCTCTGCATCTGATCTATAGTGGGTCAGATGCACAGGTGACAACCTGGCCCTGCAACTGGTGTCACCTCTGCATCTGATCTATAGTGGGTCAGATGCACAGGTGACAACCTGGCCCTGCAACTGGTGTCTGAAGTGGGGGACAGGGTGGGCAGTCTTGTAGGACTGAACCCTTGGCCTGTGAAATCTGATGCTATCTCCAGGTTGTGAAAGGAAAATAAAAATGGAGTCAGTATTGCTGAGAGAGCTCTCTAAGATAGAGCCAGGAGGCCACTGAGGAAGTAGGACATGCACACGTGATTCAGCAGTACCTCCAGTCTTGGAGGGTTTGTTAACAACTGCAGGGCCTTTGTTGTTATCCACTTGCTTGGAGAGGGCTGGAGGTGAGGGTTATACCCACTGCTGGCTGGCTTTCCAGATTAGAGACCCCGTGGACAATCAGGCCAAACTTGACAGGAAACTCCTGCCAAGATTTTTTCACATATACACTGTCAGCGGAAGTGGCCCTGAGAGGTCATTAAGTAAAGGACCAAGCCGTGCTGTCCCAGAAGGGCTTGGACGGTTTTGTCCATGGGATTTATAACAGTCACTGTTACCCTGGGGACTCTGCTGGTGTAGACTGAGCCCTGGTCCCTGCCCCAGGCTGAGCTTGAACCTCTCTGGGCCTCTCTGAGACACTTGTTGGGACTCTTGGGGGCTGGATGGGAGTGAGGCTAAGAGCCCCTGCAAGGTGAGGGCTGGGGGCCTGGCCCCAACGGCTCTGCCTGAGAGGCCAGCACCCCCAGCCATGACAACGAGGTCTTTGTCAAGGCCAACCAGCAGGGAGCCCGGAGAGTGTACTCTGGTCCTCCCACGACCCACCCTGTGGAGCTAATGGCCCCTGCCACTCTCAGAAGCAGTCATGCCCCTGGCATCAGCTGACCCCACCCCAGGCCTGACATCCAGGCCCCCTGTGTCCCCGGGGCCTCACCCAGTCCTGGTTCCTGGGAACACAGTCACAGACTGTGCAGTTGAGCAGAAGTGCAGACAGGCTTGCTCACCCCCATGTCATGCAGAGAGGGAAACTGAGGCCAAGAGAGGAGGGGTCCTGGCTGCGTCAGAGGGTCATTAGCCAGAGAATCAAGGCTGGGCCCCAGGCCTTTGATCTCCAGCCCAGAGAACTGACGTTTCCGGGGGGTCCTCAGGCTGGGACAGTGTGTTTCAGAGCCTCCACTTACCACCTCCTGCCCAGCATGGCTGCATCAGTAGGCAGCAGTCACTCCATTCCTGGAGGACCGAGAGGCTGCTCATTGGCCCCCCAAAGCATCACCCAGAGCCTATTCCACCAGGGAAGGCACAGAGCTGGGCTGAGGGTGGGGCTCTCTGCCCAAAGGCCCCCTGGCCTCAGGCTGTCCCTCCAGCCCCGGCTCTAGCTCCTTTCTGATCAGGGCCCAGGCTAGCCCTCAATGCTGCCCCCAAGCCCAGGTGGCCCCAGGTTGTGCCCAGGGACACCAGGCCTTCGAGTCCCACTCATCCTGGCTTGTTCCTATCTCAGCCAAGTGGGGGATCCTTCTGGCTCTGGGTGGGAACTATTACTCTGCTGCCAACATTAAAATTGGATTCTTGATCCCCAAAGAGTTAAAAACACCAAGATGTCTCAAGAGGTAAAGGAAGTTCTAGAAAACATTATGTGTCAAAATCTAAGTTAAATTTATATGGTGTTTGAAAACATTGGGCACATTCCTATAAGAATTCCACAGAGGGTCCTGAGTGCTTCCAGGGGAGGCGGAATGGTCCTTGCAGGGCATGAAGGCGTACAGGTGGCAGGCGACAATGGCTCAGAAAGATGCTCAAAGGGCGTTCCCCCGGCACATTCTCTCAGGCTCAAAAGGAAAATCGGTTATTCCCAGTAAGGACGTTTTTCAGCTTGCAGATGAAGGTGCAGGGTGGGCGCAGAAGGGCTGGGAGGAAACGTAGAGGCTTGTGGCAGGGGCGCTAGCCCAAGGGGGCCGAATGGCAGCGGAGCGCCTCCTGGCGGTGAGATCGTGACAGGAATTGCTGAGAACAGCGTGGGGCTCCGGGCTCCAGTTTTGGCCGGGAGATGGGTCGGTGTAGCTGGGACGGAGTTTCGGGAGCCAATCTCTTCCAGTGAAGCCCTAGGACGGAGTGGAGGGGCGGCCTTCTGCGCGTGTGCGGGCTGAGCCCTGGGCGCCGGGAGGACTCCCCTGCACGCTCCCGCGCTGAGATCTGGGTCTCTCTCCTGGCTTCTCTACCGGAGCTGGAGAAGCTGCGGGTGTGTCTGCCCTCAGCGGGGGGTAGGTGATTTTTCTAGTTATCTCGTTTACCCAGAAAAATCTAGAGGCTTCTTCCCCTGTCCGAACTGACTCTTTGACACCGCTGCAAAGGAGAAAATGGACACAACACAGGAGGGTCTTCAGCCGTCCATACTGAGGGAGGGCTCCACCTACACAACCAGCATCAAAGGGAGCCGCCAGCCCCGGGCTTCTGTAAACAAACTGTGCTAGGCTTCCGTCGTCCCAGATGCTCCAGAAATCTTCCCAGGACCAAAAGCAGGCCTACCGGGAGGCTCCAATGAATTCGAGGGTCTTCTTTTTCTTTTTTTTTCTTTTTTTAATGGCAGTGCCACGTGGGCTTGTGGGATCTTAGTTCCCCAACCAGGGATTGAACCCAGGCCACCGCAGTGAAAGCAGGGAGTCCTAACTACTGAACCACAGGGGAAGTCCCTAGGGTCTTTTCTTAATTATCTTTTAAAATTTTAACCAAGCATACTAAAAATCATTCTTTACATCTTGATCTAGTTCAGATATATTTGTGTGTGTGTGTGTGTGTGTGTGTGTGTGTGTGTGAATGAATGTGCATGTGTGTATGGATGAATGATAACAATTTCATGGAATGTGAGTGGTTGGGTGCAGCGGTCTCTGATATTTTTCTGTGCAATTGAGTTTTCCTATATTCCTTTAAAAAATGCTCTTTGCCATTCCTTAAACTCATTTTATAAGGGAAGCAGCAATGATTAATAAACTATAGCTTCAAAAACACTGTCTGAGATTAAGAGGAGAATGGAGAATGTTGGAGCTTCTACAAATGAAGACAAAAAAATCACTCTTACAAATTTTACAAAAACATGACCATGTGTAGTCTGTGGAATTGTTCCCCAAAGATGTCCTTGCCCTAATCCTCAGAACCTGTAAATATGTTTTATTACATGGCCAAAGGGATTTTGCAGATGTAGTTAAAATTATGGACCTAAAACTAGGGGGATATTATCCTGTATCACCTGGGTGCCCCAATCTAATCACTTGGGCTCTGAAAAGTACAGAGATTTCTCTGGCTGGGATCAGAGAAATGGAGCAGAAGGAGAAGTGGAAGACAGATTAAGTATGAGAAGGACTTTCCCACCATTGCTGGCTTGATGATGGCAGGGACAAAGTGAAGACCGTGAGAAGGAAATCAATTCTATCAACAAAATGAATGAGCCTAGAAGTGGATTTTCCTCACAGCTTCCAGGTAAGAGCCCAGGGTGGACATAACCTTGACGGTGGTCTTGTGAGACCCTAAGTGGCATACCAAGCCACACTTGCCAGACTCAGGCTCTGTGAGATGGTAAATGGCTCTTGTTCCAAGCAGCTAAATTTGTGGTCATTTATTACTGCAGCAACAAACTCACACACCATGAGAACACTTTTCCAGGAACAGTGCAAGAGAGAGGCTGCAAAGCTGACTCTTCCTGAGCTCAGGGTAAGCCTGCCTTTGGTGAGGGCCTATTAGCCAGTCCGGGGACTCTTCCTACTTTCCTTCTGTCAAGCTTGATAATTGCTTCACCTTCCTGAAAGAGGGCAGTGACTGTCACCCCTGAGAAACATCAAGTTACACTACCTAGAACATCAACCGAGTCAATGAGCTTTCAAGGTCCTGACACCTGCATCCTACATGAACCTCCAATTTGCCCTC